AGGGGGATAAGAGGAGGGGAGAAGAGGACATTGGGGAGCAGGAGAGTTGAGTCGGGGTTAGAATAGAGCAGAGCACGATGAGAGATACCATAATAGAGGGAGTCATTCTAGCTTTGAGGAGAGATCTGTCATTAGTGAAATTTCCAGAGATCTACAAGGATAACATCAACTGGCAAACTAAGTAATAGCAGAGACTATCTTAATAGCCCCTCCCTGATGATAAGATTGTTGGCTGACTTATATGCCATCCTAGAACCTTCATCCAGTGACTGATGGAAGCAGAGGCAGACACCCACAGCTAAACACTGAACTGACCTCCTGGAACCCAGTAACAAAGATGGAGGAGTGATGAGCAAAGTGGTCAAGACCGTACTGGTGAAACCCACAAAGACAGCTGACCGGACAAGGGGGAGCTCTTGAACCCAAGACTGATGGCTGAGAGGCCAGCAGGGGACTGATCCAGACTCCCTGAATGTAGCGCCAGGGAGGAGGCCTCAGCAATCTCTGGGGCCTTGGGTAGTAGATCAGTGTTTACCATGGTGTACGAATGAACTTTGGGAGTCCACTCCACATGGAGGGATGCTCTGTCAGCCTGGACACATGGGGAAGGGTCTAGGTCCTGCCCTGAATGAAATGACAATCTCTGGAGATCCCTGCATGGAGTGCCTCACCCTCCATGGGGAATGGTGTGGGGACTGGGGGGGTTGGGGGAGGGCTGGTGTAGGGACAAGGGAGGAGGGGTAGGAGAGGGAACTGGGATTGACATGTGATACATGCATATTTCTAATTTAAATAAAAACATATTGAGAAAAAAAGTTGGGGTTGTCTGAATTGTCAGCTGCAGCCTTGATGTAGTGTGCCAGGTCAGGGGGGTGGTACCCACAGGCACTGGCTGATGGCGGTAGCTATGGTCTTTCTATGGGTTCTTCCTGCCAGCTTTGCTCAGTCCACCACTGCAGAGACCAAGGAAACCCAGAAGGCAGTGCACAGGTGCAGAGTGGATAACTTGGAGTCCAGGAAAGAGAAAGAACATAGCAGGATGCTTAAAAACCATTGATTCTTTTGAGATTTTCACACAACGCATTTTGATCATTTCCATCCCTAACCATTCCCTCAAAACTCCTTCTAGATCTACCTCTGAAACCCTGACCCCCCAATTTTATATCCTTTAAAAAATAACCCATCCATTTATGATGCCCATATACTCCAGGGCCAACCACTGGAATTTGGTTAACTTCTAGAGCTACACCCTTAGAGAAAACTGACTCTTTCTTCCCCAGAAGCTACCAACCGTTCATAGGTCCTTAGATATGGGTGGGGGCATCTAAGCCCCTTTCTCTTCGATGCTAGAATATTGACTGGCTTTATCTACATCTTGTGCAAGCAACCACAGCTGCTGAGAGTTTGAGTGTGTAGTGGTCCTATAATGTCTAGAAAACAGTTATCTTTTGTCTTCCCCAGCATCAGACTCTTGCAGTTTTGTGCCCTAGAGATGTTACCTTAACTTCAGGGAAGGGGTGTGATGGATGTCCCATTTATGACTTAGTACTCCACAGGTACTTACTCTCTGTACTTTAACCATTTGTGAGTTTGTGTTAACCATCAGGCAGCACACAAAGAAACTTCTCTGAGGCCTAAGAGCTGCATGAGTCTACAGTTAAAGAGAGAAGCTTGATAGTAGGCCATTTACCTAATAGCAGTAGATTAAGTTTTGAGACCTTTGAGGTCCCCAACCTTGGGGTCTTGGCCAGATTTGTGGTGCCATGTATGTGTTTCTCTGTGTGCAGCGGGCTTTAGACCTAATTAGAAAGCAGCTAGTATCTGCCGTAACCACCACGCACTATTTCCTCCACGGTGCTTCCTGCCTCGTCACTTGTTACAGTTAACTCACTTCAAAGTTTGGTAAAATTATTGATTTTTTTTCCTTCAGAACGGAATGCTTTTTACAGCCAAGATATCCTGTCCTCTGGGCTATTCCATCCTATCCAGTCGCTGACCATGAGGCCCAAAGAGCCATTGTGACACCTCCTGTAACCTACCACAGTGAATAGCACACCCGGGAATTGGGAGAGATGTTTTTCCTAACCAGGTCTTTAGTGGCTCTGGTGGAGGCCAAGGAGTCCCCCACACATGCCCCACAAAACACTTGAAGTATGTTTTCTTCCATTTTAAGGTAAGAATTACAGTTGAATTTTGAGAATTAACTTGGCATTTACTTTCGTTAGTTTAAAAAATGTCAACCTATTTTTAGGAAACAGATTTTCAGTCTTGCAGTTATTCCTTCCAAGCAGGCCTGTGGCTATTTAATTCTCCTGTATAAACTACAAATGAGGACCCGATGTATTTTCCCACCCACCCCTGGCTCTCTCATGTGTTAGATTTGCAGCTTAACTACGTCATTCTTTACGGCAAGCTCCCCGTGTACACTCCTTAGCCTGCGCGTCTTTCTCAGCACAGCCATCACCAGTTGCCTCGGATCTCTCGGAAATAACAGCTGCAGCGGAGTCCCTTTCCAGCTCCACAACACTCTGCACATTAGGGATAGCTGCACAGATCACTATCTGAGTGTTCAGCCCCAGAGACAGCTCAAGCAGTTAAGAGTGTGCTGCTCTTTCAGAGGACGGGAGCTCAGCTCCCAGAACCCACACTAGGGAGCTCACAGCTTCCTGTAACGCCAGTGCCAGCACCAGCCAGCACCAGGGTTATCTGGCTCCTTCTTGTTACTGGGGCCACCACTACTCACATGTACAGTCACACCTAGATGCGTGCACACAGAGAGGGGGAGGGGGGAGAGAGAGTGTGAAGGAGAGGGAGAGCGAGGGAAGGAGGGAGGGAGGGAGGGGAGGGAGGGAAAGAGAGCAATCAAAATGGAATCATTTTAAAAATGAGTGTCAGGTGTCTGTCAGTCTGGTTCCCCACCCCTAAAGGCAATAGACAGTAGCCATTTCCCATGACCTCTATATCACCACAAAGATTCCTTATTTTTTTAATCAACCATCTCCCTTTTTAAAGAATATTTATTTATTATGTATACAGAGTTGTGTCTGCATGTATGCCTGCAGGCCAGAAGAGGGCACCAGATCTCATTACAGATGGTAATGAGTTACAATTCTGTTCCTGGGAATAGTGCTCAGGACTTCTGGAAGACCAGCCAATGCTCTTAACCACTGAGCCATCTCTCCAGCTTTATCAACCATGTCTGTCTGTCTGTCTGTCTGTCTGTCTGTCTGTCTGTCTGTCTGTCTGTCTGTCTGTCTGTCTGTGTGTGTCTGTCTATCCCATCCACCCACCTACCCACCCATCTACCCACCTACCCACCCATCCACCCACCTACCCACCCATCCATCCATCTCCTCTCCCATTTACCTTGGCTTTAATACACTATTGCATTTTCTGCTCCGTAGTCTATTCTGAGCCTCTAACTACACATTAGACTTTGTTGTTGTCTATAAGGTTTTCATTACTGTAGGTTGTATTTTCTTAACATTTTTCTTATGTTTCAATTTTGACATTTTTCTCAGCTTCATGTCTTTTTGCTCCTAATCTGCTTCCTTTTGGCTATTATATTTTCACATTTCCAGATCCCTAGAGAAACTCTATTTTGCTCTCTCCTCTCGTAAACAAATTCAAAGTCTAACTCTGATATGAGTCACTTGTAAATATGCTTCTGTAATTTTTTCTTTTTTGGTTATTTGATTCTATTTTCAGGAATATTTGGCATATTTTTTAAATGTGTCTGAAACACTATGTTCTCTTACCGCTGAAAGACTTTGGTTTTGTATCACATCGGAGTCAGGTAACCTTTACAATCGGGACAGCACGTGCACACACTGGATAGTTTCCCTGTGGCATTTGTATATGCACATTGGGTACTTTCATCACAGCCAGCCTATCAGCCTCTCTCCCACCCTCCGCTGCTTCCCTTATTCTTCTTCAGAGTTTGCCCTCTGACCCTACTTTTAGAAGTAGAAGAACCACAGTATATTTTAACTGCTGTTAAAACTGACATGAAAATAGAGAACTGCATCTGGTTTCTGTTTTTAACCAGCAATTCCTGTCGACTATTATGCAATGCCCCCTAGTAGTTCTATGTTAATGAGTTAAAATTTGAATTTTAACTAATGCCAAGTCAGTATATAAGGAGGTGAACTATTTAGGAACTTAACTAGATCATTTTAGTGTTATACTTATTGCCTTACTGGCTGTGTCTTGGGGTTTCTATTGCTGAGGTGAAAGCAAGCTGGGGAAGAGAGGATTTATTGGCTTATACTTCCAGATCATAAGTCCATCACTGAAGGAAGTCAGGACAGGAACTCAAACAGGGCAGGAACCTGGAGGCAGGAGCTGATGCAGAGACCATGGAAGGGAGCTGCTCACTGACTTGCTCCTCATGGTTTGCTCAGCCTGCTTTCTTACAGAATCCAGGGCCAGCAGTCCAGGGATGGCACCACTCACCATGGGCTGGACCCTCCCCCGTTGATCACTAATTGAGAAAATGCCTTACGTCTAGGTCTCATAGTGGCATTTCCTTAACTGAGTCTTCTTCCTGATGATTCTAGCTTGTGTCAAGCTGACAAAACCAGCCAGTACAGTGACTCTCCTGGGATTACATTCTATGCTGTAAAGCTATTCAATATGTTGTGTTCATTTATTCAGATAGTGTTTAGAAAAGAAGTAAAATCTGTCTTTCTTGTCATGTAACATATGTATTTATATTTACAAAATTCTAAATAGTATAAGAAATTGTTGGATTAGGTGGTCCTCCCATAGCTGGGGGTGATTGGTGGAATGGTACCTTGAGGCTAGTAGGGACACAGTGTGTTAGACATGAAAGGAACCTTCAGTCCTGATGTCTTTTTATTTCACACAAAAGTTCACTGAACCCCACAAAGAAGAACAAGAGACAGAATGAGTGTACAATGGTTTTCTCCCATTGCTCAGAGCTGTGGCTTACCAGCTCTGTCATCATATCCCACAACCCAGGAAGAACCAAGATGACATTTGTTTACATCACATTTATTTCTCCATTGTTTATCTGCTGGGTTCTTTGCTTGGCAGTTCGGATGTGCCTGGTTCTCAGTTGGTTTCCAAGTTCCCAGTTGCTGCCATAGACTCTGGCAATGAGGATGTCTGTCTTATAGCCTTTGCTTATCAGGCAACTGAGCTGAGCCCTGGAAGATAATGCACTGGTCAGGTGACATGTCAGGTGACATGGAAGGTATACCTGTGGTCATGTGATCAGCTTCAGGCTCCCATCTAGGCATCCAGCATAAACCAATGTAATAGAGGGCAATTACTGTGGACTGTGTGGCCGAGCAGGCCCAACTCAGCATCCTTGTCACTGTGCACCGGCTGCACTAACGGGGAAGATTTATGCTTCCCCATCTGAATCAAAAGTGGGCTTTTGGGAGATAACAAAGTTTCTGACTAATCTTTTAGAAGGATGCAATCTTATTTTGAATATTAGAATCTCTTTGTATTTTGATTATTTATTGGGGGAATGGGATAACCTATTTCAGAGGGGACACTTAAGAAAATACATAATCACTGTACTAAGACTTAGGCAGATGAAATCAACTTTTTCATCACCCATAACTCAGGTTGTGTCTTGAGAAGGAGTCTCTGTAAGCCCTGGAGGAGGCCATGGAGAGGCAAGCATTTCAGGCAGTCTCCTGCATTACGGGGTTGGAGTCACACGAGCCTAAGGTAAAGGAGCGTTAACAGGGTTGAGGAAATGACCTGTTGGTTAAATAGTGTCCATGGGTGGCACCATATTCAAGTGCATTATTAACAAGAATCTGAAGGCAGTTGAGCACCTTTGCATATTTATGGTTTTACCCACAGACAAATGCTACTCTCACCTTGAATCAGAGAAGTCTTTCTGAGATAAATGATGGTAATGAAAAGATGCATGGTGCTCAAGGTGCTCAAAGAGAATGTGAGAGATGAGTGTTTGGCTCTAAATAGGCTCGTCATAACCCCCCCCCCCCCGCTAAGGCCCAGGAAACCCTGAAGAAAAGGAGAAAGAAAGAATGTAGGAGCTGGAGGTCAGGGAAAATGGCTGTGAAACACTGTCTTATGGGCCCTTCTGACATAGTCAATATGACCATGACTTCATAGCAGTTATGGATCCTACAGTAAACCTACACAAGACTTGGCCTATCAAGAGTCAATCATGGGTTAGGGAAGATGGGACCCCTACCTCTCCCTCTTGAACTACCGACGGATTCTGGGGGAGAGGCGATCATTTTCTTCCCCCAGTTGTGTACCCACTAAAAAGCTCACCAGGCTCCAGTGGATAATTCCAAACCCATGATCACACAAACAAATCAGGATAAACTCACTTGGTCTCAACAGAACAACTGCAATGACTAAAAGTCATGACTATGGGGAGGGAGACTGTAGCGAGGGCCAGATTATCAGGTGGAGGGGTACTAGAGAGGGGGCTCTATGTTGTATGAAACTGTCAAAGAACAAACTTGATACAAGACATTATGCGTGTCTACCTAGTGTTTGACTCTTGGTGCTGAATTAAGTCCCCAAAGTAATGCTAGTTTCTAAAATACTTTCTATAAAGAAACTATGGGCTTCACGTTCATCAGTATTTTAACCTCTCCACTGTTCCATCTCTTCACCTGTTGTTTTTCTCTGATTCATCAACACTCTTTCCTATACAGAACCACCTATGGCTGGCACAGTCTGTTTGGTTCTTTGTCTTGACCAGAGAGATCAAAAGAACACAGGCTGGTCATGCCTTCACCTGTCTGCTTTTTCAACCTCAGCACCTTTGCTCTGGACTACCCTGCTTGCTGGGGCATTATTCTGCCATGTTGTCAAGAGTACCTAGGAAGTCTGGGTCCCTGCAATTTATTAGAGGGTAGTCAAGGAAGAGTAGGCAGAGAAGGGTATTTGAGGAAATACCTGGAAGAAACACAGGCGTCCCTTCTTGATGACAGAGTTAGAGTCTAGGGTAGAAGGCTGGCTGGTCATCGAGTTAATGTTCTTAGGTTGTAGGGATGGTTTCTGATGGCTGCTCTCCAGAGTTGAGTTGTGATCCTACTTTGGGGCTGTAGAGAAATCTGGAGGCTTGACACTTCTGTACCAAATAAGAGGAATGGTAGATCATGAAGGAACAACATCCCAGTCTTTCCAACCTTCACATTCTCTGCTGTCTTTGAGCATTTACACCAGCAGAAATGGGCATTACTGATTCTGGGCTTCCAGTTCCACGAGGAAAAAAAGCCCTGGTTAGGCACTTGGATTAAGAGTCATAACTCATCAGAGTTGAATCTCATCAGGAAAATGCCCCTGGCTTTAGAGTATTAAGATTAGATGATAGATTTAGAGGAGTTTTGGCCAGTCATTATTGTTCCTCCTGGCGAAGGTTTGTGATAATTAAATTTAGAATTTCTGTAAAAACCTATTGCCTGTCAGTGTTCCTTACATGTTCAGCACTGATCAAGTTAAAGAATAATTACCAATCTGTTTAAAAGGCAAGCTTGTGCTGGTCATGGTGGCGCAGACCTATATTCTAGCTATGAAGGAGGCTGAGGCAGGAAGGTCTCGAGTTTAAGGCATGTCCAGGCTACTGAATGAGAATGAGGCAACTTAGACAATGATTCAGAATGAAAAGTGAAAAAAGGGAGCTGTAGATATAGCTCAGTAGTAGAGCATTTGCCTGGCAAGTCTGGGTTCAAGCCTCCACGCTATAAAACACGAATAACTGAAAATTGGAATGGATTTGCTTTGTAAGGCCAGTGCTCTGAGAAGGATAAGTTGTTCAGGTGGGGTCTAGCGAGCTCACCTTTTCCAGTTCTTGGTTTAGGCAGGGCCATACCTGAAACATGTCAAAGAGATACTTTAAAAATATCTCTAAATCCACCTGAAGTATAATGCTGTAGTCTTTTTTCACTACTCACTAAGAACTTTCAGGTGTCACTGTTGGAAGTCATTCTTGATGCTTAAATTAAATCTCTAGATAGTGGCTGGATCTTTCACCCTCGTCTGTGCCCAGTGTTGTGGCACAGGGCTCTTAAGCTTCCATTAGTTGATTCAATAACCTAAGGAAGCCATTGATTCTTTATCATTCTTAATGACTTTTCTATCCAACTCACTGTCTTTCTAAGTGCCTTTATTAGCTGTGACATCATATGAGAGGCAGGGGAACAGAACCTCAGAACTCAAGCCCACTCCCCAGTTCAAAGAGGAGAATGTCTCAAAATCTCCAGGTGAGGTCCAGGTCTGATTGTGGGATTTTGGGAATTTCTGATGGGAATTCTGAATGGAGAAAGAAGCCTTGGCTTTGCCTCTTACCATCAGTTGAGAGTGAGGGAAGACCATCTCATGCTCTTTCAGGATGGCATGTGCCACAGCTATAGGCTTCTGAAGGCAGGCTCATAGCTATGTTTCTGGCCACTCATAGCTAGCTACATTTCTGGCCATCATAGCCACATCCAAGTGGATGTTATCCCTTTTTCCAGTCCATCAGAATAGGGCCACTTACCCAGTCCTGGGGGCTACAGATGGCATGGATGTCATATAACGGTTGCTCATGCCTAAGGAAGGAGACATTCTGTTACAGGGGTCTGGAAATGCCTCCCCAGCTGCCAAGCTCACATATCCAGTCAGTCAGAGTGGGGGGCGGCCAGACTCATGGTAACATAGAGTCTATTGGAAGAGTGTAGGATGTGGCACCAGATAGCTGTGAAGCATAATCAGTTGTGGCACTAGAAATCTCTGCTCAACCAGGCTGGTGAGTCAACTGCCTCAGGCTCAGACACTGCCCTGGAGGAGCCATTTCCCACTTTCTTACTTTTTATAGCAGTTTTTGGGGAGGGGCACTGTGGGAAAGTGGTGTTTGTATGTAGACCAGAAGTCAACCTCACATGTTGCCCCTTAGATGCTGTCTGCACTGCTTTTTGAGACAGGATATCTTACTGGCCTAGAACTCACTAAGTAAGAGTAGACCAGCAAGCCTCAAGGATCCACTGACCTTCACTACTCCATTGCTGAGGTTACAAGCACATGCAACCATACTCAGCTTTTAAAATGTGGATTTCAGGCTTGAATTCAGGTCCTCATGCTTGCATGACCAGTCTTTTACTAACAGAATTCTCCCAAGCCTGTGGATTTTATATTATTTGGGATGGGATATGATGTATCCTAGGATGGTCTAAAACTCACTATGCAGCCAAGGATAACCTTGAACTCTTGATCGTCCTGTCTCTATTCTGAGTGCTTGAATTATAGGCATTATATGATGCTAAGTATTGAACCAAGGGCTTTGAATATGCAAGATGAAAACTCTTGCCAACTGAAAGATCAGAGGGAATCTTTTCTGAACTGCCTATATTTAAATATTCCCAAGATTTTTACTTCTATGAATTCTGTTTTCTGGAGATATCCCCCCAATTCAGATAGTGCCCTTTTGCCTACTGTACCCACAGATAAAGTACCTTCAACCCTTTAATGGCATTTAGAGGTCTTTGAACTAATCCCATTTCACCTGATGGATGGCTAAGTGGCTTTGGCATCATAGAACTTTTTGGCATCCCAGGAACTCAAGCACACCCTAGGACTCCTGCTTCTTAACAAGAGATATGGATAATTTGAGTAAGTACAAAACCCAAATGAACCATGACTGATGGGTTCTATTCTGAGAAGAGTAGAGGAAGGAACCCCAAGCATGGCTTTGATGGCAATTCCAGAGTCTTGAATATTTTGGGAACTAAAATTTGTTCTGGAGAGACAGCTCAGTGGCTAAAAGCAATTGCTGCTCTTTCAGAGGACCTGAGTTCAGTTCCCAGTACCCACAGTGGGTTGTTCATGGCCACCTCTAACTCCAGTTGTACTGGATCTGATGACCTCTTCTGGTCTCTGAAGGCATGCAAACACACACACACAGACAGAGAGAGAGAGAGAGAGAGAGAGAGAGAGAGAGAGAGAGAGAGAGAGAGAGAGAGAGAGGTCAGTTGTCTCTATTGGAAAGAGCCACGTCTGACTGAATGCTAGGAGTTCTCAGTTTCTCAAGAGCCACTTCTGTCTCCAGATCCTTCCATTACAGCCCAGGTGCTACAGATGGAATGCTGTGGCCCCTCCACAACCACACATTAAAACCAAATCACCAATGTGATGGTTTTTGGAAGCAGAGCTTTGGAAGCCAGAGTTCTCACAAATTGGATTAATAGCCTTGTTTTTTAAAAGATTGATTTATTTATTATGTATATATAGTATTCTGCCTGCATGTATGGTAGGAATTGAACTCAGGACCTCTGGAAAAGAAGTCAGTGCTCTTAATCTCTGAGCTATCTTTCTGTCTTGGATTAATATCCTTGTTAAAAACAACTCCTTGTACCACCTCCACTGTGAAAAAATACAATGAAAAGGAGAAGCCATGATTCAGGAGGTAGCCTGGTTCTGGTCAGTAGCAGAGAGGCAGCTAACACAGAGGAGTAGCCCTCATCAACAATCAAATCTGCCAACCAGCCATAAGAAATACATTTCTGTTGTTTATAAGTCACTAATCTATGGCATTCTGTGACAACAGTGTTAACAGACCAAGACTTCAGGTAACTGGGCTGGATGGAGAGAACTATGGCGGCTTCAAGGAAAGCCAATGTTCAGCTCAATGGCAAGGAAGCCAGAGTCCAGTTGTAATCCAGATAGTGGATCGTCAGATGAGACTTCAGGATAAACCCTTTCTTCTCAAATTCCTCCCCTTATTCCCATATCCAAACCTTGGTATCTTTCTTTTTACCTCGAATCCGAGCGTCTTCCTGAAGCTGAAAGAGAATGGGGATTCAGTGGTGAGAGACTTAGAAGGCTGGTACTCCTGAGTCTCCAGAGGTGTCTAATTGTGGAGCACAGGCATGTGGTGTGGTGGTTTGAAAGAAAACGGCCCCCAAAGGGAGTGGCACTATTAGGAGGTGTGTCCTTGTTGGAGTAGGTGTGGTTTTGTTGGAGGAAGTGTGTCACTGTGGAGGTGGGCTTTGAGGTCTCATATGCTCAAGCCATGTCAGTGAGTCAGTTCACTTCCTGTTGCCTACAGCTCAAGATGTAGAACTCTCAGCTCCTTCTCCAGCACCATGTCTGCCTGCATGCCACCATGTCCTGCCATGATGATAATGGACTAAACCTCTGAAACTGCAAGCCACCCAGTTAAATGTTTTTCTTTATGAGAGTTGCTGTGGTCATCGTGTGTCTTCACAGTAACAGAAACCAAAGGTGGGACATGTGGGATGGAACTCTACATTCCCTAAAAGAGTTTATATTGGTTTTGTATATTTCAGAGCTGGCTGCTTCAGACACTGGATAATAAAGTGAGTAGAGACGGGGCACACAGCTTGTTACCCACAGCCTGAATGCACATAGAAAAAGTTTGCTTATTTGCTTCTAGCTTGTATGCTGTGCTTTCCTCATGGTGTCTCTAGGGATGCCCTATAGACTTGGGAAGGTCATTTGTACTTGGTATACACAGCTGCTGATTGCTCTAATGTGGGGCTAATCAGAAATAAGACTTGTCTTAATCACCACATTTTATACTCTCTTTTGCTTGACTTCTTTCTTAAAGAAAGAAAAACTACAAAAGAGTTCTTGGTGGTGGTGGTGCACTGCACACTTTTAATGCCAGCACTTGGGAGGCAGAGGCAGGTGGATCTCTGTGATTTAAAGGCCAGCCTGGTCTACAGAACAAGTGCCAGGATAGCCTCCAAAGCCACAGAGAAACTCTGTTTCTAAAAACAAAACAAACAAACAAAAAAGACTACTTATTTCATGTATATTGAGTGTTGAGCTGTGTTCCATGCTTGCAGTACCTGTGGAGGCCAGAAGAGGACATCATGTCCCTGGACCTGGTTTTGTTAGCTACCTTGGGGGTGAGGGAACCCTCTCTGAGAGCATTAACTCTCTCCAGCACCTTGCTTGTCTTATCTTATTATTTGATTTAAAAATTTTCCCTTTAACCATAACTAGGGGATCTGGTCTGAACCAACACAAAGGTTGGTAGGGAAGGGACAGTATTGTATCTGAATTACTCTAAGAGAAGGCACCAGAGAGGCCTTCCGTGAGGGGCTGGGAGCAGATGGGCTGTTAACGTCATACACATCCCAAGTCAACACAAAAAGTGTCCCCCCTGCCCCCCGCAGCTCAGTTTCTGTCTGCAGGAGACTATGATCTCAAGAGACTAAAATTCTAGGTACAGAGAAAGCGCCCTGACTGCAGAGGTAGAAATGGGTGGGACTATGACATTTTTGATCTCGTCCAGAGCCCACTTGATCTAGCCAGAAGCAAAGTCTGCTGTGACTTTCATAAGAGGAAGCTCTAGCAGGACACATGGTGTGACTACTTGGATCACAGAATGGGACCCAGTTCCAGGGACCAAAGTGATCTTGGTGGTGAGAGACTGGAAGTGCTTCCAGTGCCTCCTCAGCTCCCTTGTTCATTATTCCTCTCCACCTAGGAAGAGAGGACGGTTGTTCCTAAGACGACAGGGGGCCCCCGGCATGCTCAGAGTCTAAACTTTTAATGACATTATACCTTTCTTTGAGGGATAAAAGAAGTGTGTAAGGAAGTTGCTTGCTTGCCTTTGTTTTATGATATGATACATATTCAAAATTAGCTTTTCTTCTGATTATAGCCTGTGTAAGTGAATAGGTAATTGTGAACATATATTACTATATACATAAAGAAGAGGGGTAGGAGTAAGAATAGAGGGAGGAGGGGAGAAAGGGGGAGAAGAATGTGCATGCAGCAGGGCACTTGGTGGGTCTGAGGAGCTTCAGCATTTTGAACAAGCTCAGCCTGCTTCAATATAATGTTTAAACATTCGACCAGTGTTTAGAAAAGAAATTGAACTCTGCATAGAGGTCAAAAGTTTAGATCTGGGTTATAGTTCACACTTCCCCACAGTTCAGAGGCATGTCCTCTCCCAAGGCTGTTTATCATGCTATCCCGAGGGTTCCCCTCAGTGTACTCCCTGGTCAGCGTTTCATATGTTCACATCAATAATTCTTTTGGGAGAGTTTCTGGTAAATTCAATCCTGCTCCCTCTGGTATTGTGCTATAGTTCCTCAGAGGGAATTGTTAGGTATTTCAGTTTCCTGGAGTGACAGATCAGTCATAGTCTTTGAAGCGAACACCTTGGGTAAGTGTTCCCATCCCAACAGGGTGTGGAAGAAAAGTGATGTTAAAAGGCAGGAAAGAGAATCAAAATTTAACCTCACCTCCTTTTGGATGCCTTTAAAGGCTGTTAGCACCTGGCAGAAGAAAAAAAAACACACAGAAGATTAGTATTACGAACTATCACCTTATCACAGAGGGAACTTATACATAAAATCAAGTGATCTAACCTCCTTGCTTATAGTACATATCATGTTTATATCATAACTCAATTCCTCCAGTGTATGCAGTGTGAGTTCCAACAGACTTTTTAGCCCCAGTAATAACCCGCAATGACTTCAGCTCTACATAGGTCTCCAGGCCATTTCTCCATGTGGTAAGTGAATGTTAGTAATATATCTAAGGAGGCCTAGGCTCTGAAGAGAACGTTAGTGAAACTCACTATTGTATTTCATTCCTGTTTAACCAGCCCTTCTTTTGTTGAAACTGAGCACAGCTATTGAAAACGAATACTGTTGGCCATGCTGGTGCCAGCTACTAGGCCAGTGCTGAAGGGAATCTTGAATTTGGGGTCAGTCTGAGCTATACCTTTAAGGACTTCTAAGTAAGATGGAAGTTAGAAGTTGCTTCTCCATGACATGTGAGGGAGAAGGATCAAGGCAAATAAGAACAGATTGTTCTGGTGAGAGAACTTGGTGACCAGAAACACACAAAGGGATAGACAGGTCAGTGGAAAGTGTGGGAAACAGACATGACAGGTTCTGTCGAATCTCCTGCAGAGAAGAAGCCAGCACCAGCCAGCAAATGGCACCTGACACACTGGGATGGGGTAGAAGTTATTTTTCTATTGCTGTGAAGAGAAAGCATGATCAAGGCTACTTCTGAAAGGAATCATTTAATTGGCCTTGCTTACAGTCTTGGAAGGTGAGCCCATGACCATCATTGTGGGGAGAGTAGCAGCAGGCAGACAGGCATGGCATGGGAGCAGTAGCTGAGAGCTTACATCAAGGAGGAGGCAGAGAGGGAGAGGGAGAGGGGAAGAGAAAGGGGGAGAGAGAGGGGGAGAGGGAGAGGGACAGGGACAGGGAGAGGGACAGGGACAGGGACAGGGAGAGGGACAGGGAGAGACTGGGCCTGGGCCTGGGCCTGGCATGGGCTTTTGAAACTTCAAAGTCCATTCATAGTGACACACCTCTTCAACAAGGCCACACCTCCTAATCCTTCCTAAACAATCCACCAACTGAGGACCAAGCATTCAAACAAATGAGCCTGCGAGGGACATTCTCATTCAAACCATGTATGAGGTCAGTGGTGGGTACCTGGAAGGTGCAGTACCCTACACCTGCATCCCCAGACATGAGCACTGTTAGAACAATGTCTTAGTTACTTTTCTATTGGTATGATAAGACACCATGACCAAGGTTATAGAAGAAATCCTTTGTATGGTGCTTAAGGTTTTTAGAAATTTAGAGTCTATGTTAGGGAGACTGGCAGCCATGTCTCAGAGCTTACATCTTGATACACACACACACACACACAGAGGGGGGGGCAGGGATAACTAGGATTAGCATGGACTTTTGAAACCTCAAAGCCCACTGACAGTGGCACACCTCCTCCAGCAAGGCCACACCTCCTAATCTTTCCCCAAAAGTTTCCCCAGCTGAGGACCAAGTATTCAAACAGATGAGCCTATAGAGGCATCCTCATCCAAACCACCACCGACATCAAGCTGGAGAGAGGCTGAGCGGGTGTGGGAACATGACACTGAGCTGGGTAGACTGAGGTGGCAAGGCAGCTAGGACAACTCTGGGCTTAAGGCACTGGCAGCAGTGTGACACAACGGCCTGAAGCTAAGAGTACCCTGGAGTGTCTAACCCAAGAATCACACAGAAACCAGCACCCACACTCCACCTGGCCGGGCCAGAGCACGGGGTGTGAGACATATGCGGGACCTGTTGCAGTCCTCACAACAGGCACGATGGGTGTCCCTAGTGACAAAAACCAGTTGCCGTCTGGCTGAGAGGACCCAGAGAAAAGGTAAAAATGAGTTTGAGTGGGCCTCCTGCATCCCACAGAGTCTTGGTCACAGTGTGTCCTGTATCAAAAGCATCATCCCCAGCACAGCAGAGGCAAATCTGTAGCTGGCTGGCCATCATGGTGACGGTAGTGGCTGGGGAATTCCTGCAAAAGTTGGAGTCCCACAAAGGAACACCTCTCAGCAGGGAGAACACAACTAACATAACTTGTTTGAATAATGGAGACTAGTACTATGCCCCCAGGCAGGCAGTGTCTGATACAAATGACGACTGATTAGACTGTCATTTTGAGGGGAGGCAGACATTGCATTCAGCTGCGTACCCACTGAGGCACTTACCATGCTCCAGAGGAAGAGTAGCAAACCCATGGTCTTACAGGCCCCTGGCTAAGCTCAGTGGATCACAAAAAAAGAAAATGAATGTAGGAAAGGGATTTGTGAGGAGGGTGTGTGTCAGGAAGGTAGGAGGGAAATGAGACAGTGGCAGTTATCAGAATGTACTATATGCATGTGTGGAACTGTCAAAAGAACAATTTTAGTAAAAGAATAAGGTAGCTGAAACTTTAAAGTTTTCAGAGTCCCACTTAAAAAAAAGATATCTGAATGTTTTGCCTGAATGTAAGTGTACCATGTATATGCCTGATGCCTGTGGAGGTCAGAAGAGGGCATCGTATCTCTTGGAACTGGAGTTACAGATGGTTGTGAGCTACGGAGTTGGTGTTGAGAACCAAACTTGGACCTTCTGCAAGAGCAAAAAGTGCTCTTAACTACAGAGCTATTTCTCAAGCCAAGAGAGGTCTATTTAAAAAATATTTTATTAACTCTGAGAATTTCATATGTGTATACAAAGTATTTTGACCAAATAGCCATCTCCCTGCTCCCCCTAGCTCATAGATCAACTCCCACCTACTCCCATCTTCAGGTTGTCTTTTTTCCCCCAGCAAAGCACCAAGTCCAATTTGTGCTGCCTGTACACTTGTGTGTGTGGAGCTATCCACTGGGTGTTGTTAATATGGCAGGGACTATGGCTTTAAAGAAAATTGACTCTTCCCCAAGAAGCCTTAAGATGCCAATAGCCCCTCAGTTAGGTATGTGGGCTCATGGGAACTTCCCTCTCTACATGAATGCCAACTGGCTTACTCTTGTGCACGTCTTATACAGACAACCATGGCTATTGTGATTTCATGAGTGCAGAGATCCTGCCATGTCTAGAAGATACTGTTTCACCCTGTCCTCACCAATTTCTGACTCTTACACAGTCTTTTTTGCCTCTTTTCCATGATGATCCTTGAGAATTTGAAGGAGAGAATATGATATGGGGTTTCCTAATTATGGCTGAATGCTCTGTAGACATTTATTCACAGCATGATGATCAGTTGTGAGTTTCTGGGTGAACCATCGTCTATTGAACAAAGAAACTTGACACTATGTCCACTTAGCAAAATAGTAGTAGCTCCACCCCTGGGACCTATAAACTTCCAGCCATGGGTTCTTGGCTGGATTTACAGTAGCAGGTATATATTTCCTCCTATGGAGTGTGTCTTAAGTCAAATCAGAAAGTAGTTTGTTACCTACATAAAGTTCCTGCCACTATTGCACCTATAAGCACATCATGCTACATTTGTTGTATTGTAGTTTACAGGGTTCACAGTTCGGTAAGATTGTTGATGCTTTCCTCCTTAGCAGCCTTGTATACACTTTCCAATACTACAAAAGCCAGCCAGTCAGGAAGTAACCTGGTCAGAATCAACTTGATACCTCCATGTCATGTGGTCAAAATATGTGGTCTTTAGCAATAGGGTTTATCACCAGCTTCTGGTGGTAATTCAAAAGCAATAGTGGTAGTTTTTATTGTATTTTGGGCTCCTGGGACATCTCTGATCAACAGCTTGGGAGCTATTACATCACACCTGGCCTTTGGTTTTTAATCTGATACCTATGGCCTTTGGGAAAAGACTTATCCCTTGTGTAAGACAGCCCCAACTAAATTCTTTTATTCAAATCAGTAGTGGTGTTGCAAACTTTTAATCATGGCACTCTGAAGGCTAAGGCAGGTGAGTCTCTTTGTTTGAGGCCAGTCTTGTCTACATAGAGAGTTCTAGGACAGCCAGGGCTGCATAATAGAGAGAACCTGCCTTAAAAAGATCATCCCTTCTTTTATATAAATATAAAACAAATTCAGTATGAATATAAAAGTAGTTTTGATCTGTTTTCTTTCTCTGTGAATTTCAAAAGATAGCACTGATGTATATAGTGACGTTTGTTGGCAGTTATTTACTTTTAGGACTTTAAATGTATCATTCCACATTTTCTTGTCATTGCTAATGGGAAGTTAGGTATTTGAGAATAGCCCAGGCTACATAAAGTTGCCTGTCTGAAAACAAACAAAAATAATATATAGACAAAGGCAAAAACTTTCTGAAAAGATTCCAACAGTACAGAAGATAACTCCAAGAATTGGAAGGTATTACATACATCAAAATCTGCATGGCAAAGGAAAGATTCCAACAGTACAGAAGATAACTCCAAGAATTGGGAGGTGTTACATACATCAAAATCTGCATGGCAAAGGAAACGACTGTAGAGTGGAGACAGCTACAAAATGGAAAAAGTCTTTGCCAACTGTATACCAGAAGGGGCTAATATGTAGAAAGAACCACACCTCCCCAAATCTTCCAATCAATAATTGGTTAGTAAACTGAACAGATGATTCTCAAAAGGAGGAATGAAATGTTCAATGAACAGTTCAAACAGCATTAACATTTTTAGCCTTCAGCAAAATGAAAACTACATTGGTTTCCATCAACATCCACACAGTGGTTCACAAATACATGGCTATGCAGAACATGGCTACCTGGAGTGTTTTCTATCTATGAACCCAGGAGCAGATGGTCCACCTTCAGTTTATATCCTGACCCTTATTCTAAAACACTTTGGAGATTCTTTTCCATAGGGTTCCATCAACCTGGTACTCTGCAGGGAGAGAGGACAGAAATGGGGCTCATCTATAGTGTTCTTTTCCACCTTGGGTTTTCATCTAAACACTTGTAGATGGAGGTAGTAAGTACCATCTAAGTTATCTAAACCAGCGTGGAGGTGCAGGCACGTTCGTTTTACCGTGTGGAATCAGCGCAGCGCTGCAATCACACTGAGCCCATGGGAGCAGCCAAACCTGCACTTACAAGTCTGTGGCTGCCACCCAACCCTGAAGGGTCCGACAGCTGTAAAACCAAACAACACCAACAGGACTCTGGTCAGAGCCGGACTGGTGGGTGTCGGAAGCTGCACAAAGATGTTCAGGTATGGGGGCTTTTGAGGATTTGGGGTTCAAAGAGTGGTAGAAAAAGGCAAGAGGGACAGGAAACCGTCATCACTAATCTGCCTAAAGGAAGAGAAATTACCCCCTTCCTCCCAAATGTCACGCGTTGTCACAAGCAACCCTGTGTACTTACCTGGTCCCACAGGGTTTCGGTGATTGCTAACTCCCTTTCCTGTTGGAAACAACAAGACAAATCTTGGCAATATTATCCAAACTCTCCAAAACTCTGACCTGATGTAAAATGGAAGTGGTGGAATAAAAGATATTTCTTGGAACTAAAGTGAAATTCTAAAAGTTTATTTTTCTCCCAGGTAGCTCAGAGCCTTATAAACACCCTGTAACCTGACCTGGAACTGGCAGGTGTAGAAATGGCATTGGAACTACGATGTGGCCTTGGTATTAGTGACCTGCCAGCCTTTCAAACTCCCCAACCACAAAGGCTGTGTGCCACACACAAAGATGTAATCTTTACCACACAGATTTTCTGCCTCATGACCACAGCCCCCTCTTCACTTTTCTTCCCAGAATCCAGGAGCCCCCCTAAGAAACCAACAGGTGAGGCTGTCTTACTCACCTGTGATTTTATTGTCTCTTCAATGGATGTGCTGGAAAGAAAGATGATGGAATTGTGATGAGAAGCAGGGAAGATATTTACAGGTTTCTCTTAATTCCGTTTTACTAGTGAGAATTATTGAATTTTAGGAATAGTCACGATCCTACATCTTATATTCCCCTCAGGGCTCCATCTTCTTGGTGTCAGGGCTGTTTTACAGAACTTTTAGAGTGCACAGAGCGGCACTGAAGGCAGCACCTGACTTGCCATCCTCCAGCCCATCACAGCCACACCCCACTCTTGCCTAGGGCCCTTTGGAGGATGTGCATGCAATTTGTCTTTGTGTCCCCAAATGCATTCTTCTGATAGGTGTAGGGTGGGAGCTGAGGAAGAACTTGAAAAACTTTACAATTCTGGGAAGCAGAACTGAAGGTCTTACTGTTTTCCTCAAATGTCATTTATTAGAAAATACGATTCTGGGGAAAGGAACTGCAAAGGGAAGTGGGTGTTACAGTGCGTAGACCTCTTTCGGCCAGGGACAAAGTGTGTCAAAATAAAATGAGCTATAGGCAAAAAGGCAGAGCGCATTGATGGCTCAATAAGGTCTTACTCTTAAGAACTATTATGTTGTGGAATAGAATATTTGTTTAACTGTGTAAAGATGTTACATTTGTTTATGCCGCATTTGTTTAATGATGTAAAGATGTCTTACCTTGCCTGCCTAAGGCACCTGATTGGTCTAATAAAAAGCTGAATGGCCAATAGCTAGACAGAGGGATAGCTGGGACTGGTGAGCAGAGAGAAAAGGCATCCAGTCAGTTGGGGGCCGGCCAGCCAGGCCCAGAGGAAGGAAGCAGGAAAGCAGGATGGACAGTATGTGGATGAGGTAAAGGAGACTTGGGCAACACATAGATTAATAGAAATGGATTAAGTTTTTTAAAAAGCTATCTACTGACAGTGGAACCAGTATTTATCCCTAGTGCACCAATGGACTTTGGGAGCCCATTCCCTATGGAGGGATACTCTCTCAGCCTATGTAAGAGAGGACACTTTTTTATTTATTTAAATTAGAAACAATCTTATTTTACACATCAATCCCAGTTCCCTCTCCTTCTCCTCCTCCCTTTCTCCCCACAAACCCCCAACACATTCCCTTTCTGCTTCCCAGGGAGGGTGAGGCCTTCCTTGGGGGATTTTCAAAGACTGTTATATTATTTGGAACGGGGCTTAGACTCCCCTGTGTGTCTAGGCTGGGAGAGCATCCCTCTATGTGGAGTGGGCTCCCAGAGTGCATTCGTGCATAGGGATAAACGCTGTGCTGGCTGAACCATTGGTGCTGCACATACCCCACCTCTCTGTTCTCTGCCTCTGCCTGGGTTTACACTCTAAATGGATTGTTGCTGAGCTGGTGTCTAGCTCGTGTGTACATGGCGACCTTGACACTATAAGAGAGGACTCTTAATGAACATGTTTTCGGGATGGAACTGGGTAGAAATCTCTCTGGGAATCAGTGGGTGACTCATGTGTAGGTTACTGCTAGCTAGAGTGTTATTTCTCCCTGGACCCTGAGGACAGCTGTTCCTCATTCTAGTTCAAGCCATGCCCCTTACTCTAAAACACCCCCAGTCTTTCCCACGGGTTCTATACATCTTGTTCCAGGGGGTATAAAGAGAACAGAACTAGGATCCACTTGGGGCTTTTTTTTAGGGGTATTTTTTTTAATTATGTGTAGGTGTGTGTGTCTATTCATATGAGTGTGGGTGTCCTTGGAGGTCAGGGGCCTCAGATCACCCTGAAACTGGAGTTACATGATTGTAAGCTGTTTTGCAAGGACAATGGGACAAATTCTCTCTCTCTCTCTCTCTCTCTCTCTCTCTCTCTCTCTCTCTCTCTCTCTCTCTCTGTGTGTGTGTGTGTCTGTGTGTGGTGTTGGCAGGAAGATAGAGCGGCAGAGATGGGAAGAGAGAAAAGAGGAGAGGTGCCTCAGGAGCAGGAGAGACAGAGAGACTCTCCTGGAAGAATGGCCTGGTAGGAAAAGATTGAGCCTCCACAAACTGGGCACAGACCCACATTCTGTCTGTCTGCAGACATCCCGTGATGTAATTGCGGGTGGTCTCCTCTGCTGAGGAGCAAATTCAGGCTGACACATGCTTACATCCAGGGAAGAGCCTGGATTCCAACTCAATTGTCTTTTGATTGCACACTGCATTGGTTATTGCCACCCCTTGCTTTGTAGTTGAGTGCCTGGAAAGCTGGTGACATTACAGCTAGAAGAATGGAATTTAGGGCCAGAGTTCTGGGCTTTCTGTCAAGTCCCTTTGCCTGGATGAGTTTGATTCCACATCTATGAAACAAGGGGGAATGACCTCAATTCTGGGCTTTGGAAAATGACGGTCTTTGTAACGGGAAGCTCGTGTCAAGGGTCACTGTGACCTGTGCTGCCTTTCAGTGTCTCGTTAACTTCTGCTCACAGCAGAACAAAACTTTTTCAGTAGAGAACTCAAGACTCTGCTGCACCTAGGGTGCTTGTTCATATGAAATCACCAGAGAGTCACCGTTTTATTCTTGGGGTCAGCCAATGTACAGAAAACAACTGTTCTATTTGCTGAGACAGCCTCTTGGTTCCTTGCTCCATCTCAGGGCTGAGGCAAATTTAACCACTTAGAGCACTTAGGACAGACAGTTACAAGCCTGTGAGAGACTTTCTTTCTCTTTCTCATAATTCATGCAAACTCTTACCTTGGAACATCTGCCATGTGCTTCATGGACCTGAGACAATTTCCGGTTTCTTTCTGAAGCTCTCTTAATATATAAGCTCACAGCAAACATCCCCCCTTACTTTAGGTAATGTTTTCTGGGTCGTGTTTTTAGCTTCTTTTATTTAACAGCAATGAATTTTTTTGTTTTATTTTATCCTACTCTAAGGGAAGCATGGTATTGAATGTCTGACTTTGATTCATACTATAGAGGACATAAAAGGCCCAGAGAACACTGGCCCTAGAATGATTGCCCTAAGCTTGCAGTACCCAGGCAAACTTTGGGGGAATGGTATAAAACTTCTGGGATAGAATGCAAAGACTATTGATTGCTGCTTCCACCAAGGAGATAAGGGACTGTGAAAAACCCCGTTTACCCTCCCTAGGTGCAGCCAGATGGATATGGGAAGCAGGGCAGCCACTTCTCCTGCCGTAGACAAATCTAACCAAAGGGCCCATGAGCAACGTTGTTGGCTCCACCTACCTTCTCTGCTGTTCGGATGTCATTCTTGCCTATGTTTTTGATATGACCAGGCCTCTGGAGCTGAAGATGGAGATAGCTTAGGCCCTGAGATAAATAAGAGGAGACTCCCTTAGATGTATGGCGGGAAGCAAGCACTCACTCTCTGAGCAGGAAGCTATGTCGTGGCTTAAGTAGTTCAGGAAATGGCCTTGTTTTCAGTGGGTCAGCATGTTGATGCGTGTGTGTGTGTGTGTGTGTGTGTGTGTGTGTGTGTGTGTGTGTGTGTGTGGTATGTGGGAATAAAGGTGAGAGGAAGGAGACATTTGACCTAGGATAACTCCCCCTCATAACCTGAGAAGCTCATATTGAAGACTGGGAAGGGGGCTGGCCAGGGCCTGAGATGAGCTCTAAGGTGAGGATGGAGAGCAGCTTAGAGAGAATTCATAGTCAGTCGTCTACTGAGGGTGGAAACGTGAGTGGGGGTCAGTCAGCTCTAGCCTTCAAGTGTTTTGTAAAAGGGAAGGAAAACCCTTGGTCAACACACTTGGGCCTGCAAACCCAAACAGTGATCCAGACAGATAAGGAACAGATGCTTTTCTCACGGACACCCTTCCTCACCTTCCAGACCACCACCAGGCTACTTGGCCCAGACACTTACCTGGCCAAAGCCCTTCCCAGCTTATGCTTTCTCCCTTTTGAGTCCCATATCACAGCTGTACCCTGCTGGTAACCTGCCCCTCCCAACACTTTGTGACTTCAGCTGTGACATCATAGATGTGGTGCAATAGGCTCTCTTCTAGACTCACCTCAGGTTTTCTTGCCTCCATGTGACAATGGTGAACTGAAGAGATAATATAGAATTTTAATTTTAATTTTAAAGCCAAAGGAGACTTTGGTTCCTTTGTTTTCTGCCACACCAAATCCAGCAGATTCTGTGTGACAAGTTCCACTGACTGAAGTGATAACTTCAAAAGAAGGAGGTCTCCTTGAAACGGTTGTGGAACTCTCGGTCGGAGAAAAATATTAAACTATAGTTCTCATGGCAATCTCTGTTCTTTTATTCTTTTCTCATATTAATGAAATGTTCCTAAAGGCCTATACTGACATTTTAAACAAAAGATATAAATTAGAAACCGTCCCCTGAGACGTGGTCATTGACCATGACCTCATCTCCAGGGAGACCAGTGCTTTTCAAATCATTTACGTCATTTACGTAAGTACAAATAAGTATTGATAAAAACTTTCCCAACAATAAAAATTCATATGGCTATACATGTGTAATCTAGAATGGGTTTAAATGATTTGTAAGAAAGGCTTTTTAATAAGAAAGTTTTTTGATAAGAAAAGGTCAAAATAGCTCTATTTCAAAGACTCAGAAGAACTAGGCAACAGATAATCAAACAATTGGAACTAGGTAACAGATGTCAAACAATAACTGACCGTAAAAATCTATTAACCTGATCTTAGAAATAGGCAGTTAGCTGTGGTTAGCCTTGAATGATTTTTGATTTATTGTTTTAGCCTTGGATAAGTTGTCTGTTACTGTGCCTAACAACAGTGACGTCACATGGGTATTGTTTCACTGAACACAAACTATGAGAATATATTTGTTTTATTATAAAAAGGCCTTGCTTGAAAGCTGTAAAATACACTCAGATTCAAACTGCCTCTGTGTTTGTTTCTGCTTGTCACCATCTAGTCTTTGAGAAACCTCATCACAGGGACCCCCACACCCGGCTCGGGTGGTCCATGGCAATTTTCTTCTACTAATTTTATAAAACATCCATCAGTTCTCAGAGTGAGACCCAAAGCAGAATCTCTCCTCTGTTTTGAGTCTCAAAAGACGGCATGAAAGATCTGACTTCAAGATTTCTGTGAAGATAAACATTTTTGTTTGGAATTCCAGAAAATTTTGACTTGGAAAAATCGCCAAACATGATAATAAATACAAATGCCTAAAAAAATCCCAAGGAGCACCAGGGCCAAGGTCTTGCTACTTCTGTGACTGTCAGGAAGAGCAGCCTCAAAGAAAGCCTGTGTCAGTGTGGAAAGTTCCCACCAAAGCAGGAACTTTGAAATGCATTCAGGAAGATAGGATCTGAGGTAGAAGAACATTCCAGAGCCCACAATCTGCCCAGGTGATGGTGGGAAAAATTCAACGATGCCTCGGCAGGGCCCAAAATGATCTATCTGGAATCTAAAGAGTCACAGTGCATTTAACCTGTGACATAATGGCAGGACAGACCCTGCCTACAGAAGTCTGGATATCTGGTCACCCTCATGGCTGCTTCCACCAGGATTTGTGGAAAAGGCTGGGTTGATTTTAGGACTTCTCCTGTTACTAGTGAGAGCACCATGGGCTGTCTGGCAAACTACTTTCCCACTAGTGTGATTGCTTACGGGATTAGTGGCAAGAGACTAACCAGAGTCTACCACCCGTCTGAGTGCCAGGACCCTTCCCTTCATGATAGTCCTCCTTGTTTACTTCAGTTTCCATAGAGTCCAAGCTCCTCTTTCATGTCCCCTCATCATTTAGACTTTTATCCCCTTTGGCCAGAAATATCCCACAAACCAACAGAAACTTCCATTGTATCAAAAACTAAACTCTTAATTCCACCCACCTTCCTGGCCACATGAGATGGTGCATCTGACGGGTCAGGGCAAAAGCCTTGGGCCTGTCACATCTCTCCTTTTCTGTCTTGCATTAGCTCTCCCTACTGGCTCTACCTCAGTGTGTGTGTATCTGGTTACTTCTCACGGTCAGTAGTAGGAATGGGCACTGTAAGATGCACAGATCACACCACTTCCACCCCCAAACCGTGAGTCTCCTTTGCTTCATGCTCAGGACACATCTAGGCTGGCTCCAGAGGGGTTTTCCTCCTCTTCATATCCTGCCCACTTTCCACTTACGCTGACTTTCTTCCCTCTAAGTGCCCAGAGTGTACTTCTCTCTTCTTCCCAGAGCATTCCTCCAAACATTCATTTGGTCTCTTCTCACATAACATTTCCTACAGCCTCTATCTAATGCTGCAGCCACAATCACTTAAAAGTCTTTATTTTCATTTATATTTTTCTTTTTAAAATTTAATTTTATCGAAACTTTATTCTACAAAGCTATTTTCATATAGAATATTCTGATCATGGTTCCCCTCTCTCATCTCCTTTAAGATCCTCTCTACCTTTCACCCTCTGAAGGCCACACCTTCTTTCTCTCTAAAGAACACAAACAGGCAAATAAAAACACACAAACAAGAATAATCCAAACCCCTTAAGTGGCCCTTAGTGTTAACTGTTCCTCCCTGCATCCCTCCCTTACTCACCTTCTCTCCCCTCTCTGTATAATGCCCCCATTATAATTCCTCCTTATTTCTCTCTAACTATATGTGCTATTTCTCCTGCCTTGGTAGATACTCCCTCTCAACTCTTAGTTCCTTACTCTGTACCTAACCTCTGTGGTTATTCAGGTTTGAACATGCCCGTCAAAGGCTAAAAGCTAACATCCACATAGAAGAGAGTACATACCATGTTTGTCATTATGAGTCTGGGTTACCTCACCCAGGATGATTTTTTTTTCTAGATTCATCCATTTACCTGCAAATTTCATGATTTTTTCCCAGACAGGGTTTCTCTGTAATGCTTCAGAGCCTATAGACCAGGCTGGTCTTGAACTCATAGAGATCCACCTGCCTCTACTTCCCGAGTGCTGGGATTTAAGGCGTGTACCACCAACGGCCAGCAGTTTTATGATTTCTAACAGCCTAATAATGTTCCATTGTATAAATGTACCACATTTTCATTATCCATTTATCTGTTGATCTAGGCTGCTTCCAATTCCTGGCTACTATGAATAGAGCAGCAATGAACATGGCTGAGAAAATGTCTCTGTAGTAGGATGGAGTAGTTGCTATATGCCCAAGAATGGTTGGTATAGCTGGCTCTTGAGGTAGATCTATTCCCAGCTTCCTCATTAGTCTTGTTTGTTGTTTCACCTCATAAAATGTAATCATCATAAGGATTCTGTCTTATACAATCAATTATATCTTCAATGCTAAGAACTATACCTGGAAAATAGGAGAACCAGAGACTTTTTTGTTTTGGTGGTGGTAGTATTGGAGTTGAATCCATGACCTCACACAAATAGAAGAAACTCAAATGTATATAGAACCAACAAGCCAATCGACAGTGCATATGGGCAGTTCTCATGGGTGGGAAGCTATTATTTCATTATCTTACTTAGGTCAGTGAGAAGGGTATAAGGATTGCCCCACCTGTAGCCTTTTACCAGTAGAAAGAAGAACCACAGAAGAAAAATATCTGTTATCGGTTCTATAAACAAACAAGGAGTTTGTTTAGACTACAGTTGAGAGAACTTTGTTGAAATACAATGGATATACAACATAGAACACATATCTGGTAAGCCTGGACATATGTAGACTACATGAAAATATCAGCAAAAGCAATAAATTTACCCATGACACCTAGAGTGTCCTGTACCTCTTTTTAATTAATTCACCGTCTTTGCCTTTGTTATTTTTCCCACCCTGAAGCAATTACTGATATGCTCTCTGTTTCTACAAACTGCAGTTTTAGCATATTACATTAATAATGTTGTATAATATGTGCTTTTGTGGATTGATATTTTTATATTTACTCATGTTGCCATGTATGTTAGTGGTTTATCCCTTTGTATTACTATGTAGCAGTCCATTTGCTATGTACTAGTTTCCTAGGAATGTGATAAGAAATTACCACAATCCTGAGGGCTTAAAACAATGGGAACGTATTTTCGTACAGATACAAAAGTCTAATGTCTGAAATTAGGGTACCAAGTAGGGCCAGTTTCTCCCAGACATGCCAAGGGAGAAGCTACTCCTGCCTCTCTTTGCTAGTGCAACTGTGGTTTTGCTTTGTGACCTGTTGTGTTTAATCACATGGGTCAGTCACATGGGCATGGGAGGGAGATTGTCTACTAGAGCACAGGTAACTCACCAGGGGCTACACCACCGAAGACAATGACTTCCTGTCCTCCTGTCCTGTCCCTCAATTTCTGGGGGGCAGAGTGGAGCCCTATGAAAAATATGTATTCTGTGATATTTAGGAGAAATATTCTGTGGATATCTGTTAGGGAAATTTGATTTATGATGTCATTTAACTCCAGTGCTTCTCTGGTTAGTGTATATCTGGATGGCCTGTCAGTTTGAGGAAGTGGGGTATTGAAATCACTATCGTTCTTTTGGGGTTAATCTGTGACTTGAAGGCCAAATGGTATGTTTTCAATGGAATTGGATATATCTGAATTTGATGCACATATACTTAGGATTGTGATGTGTTCTTGACTGATTGTTTCCTTTATCAGAATGAAGTGTCCTTCTTTGTTTCTTCTGATTAATTTTGCTGTGAAGTCTATCTTTTTAGATATTGGGATAGAATGCCTGCTTGTTTCACGGTCCCATTTGCTCGGAATACCTTCTTCCATCCTTCCAATCACAGTGCCTATCCTTGAAGGTAAGTCAAGTTTCTTGAAGGCAGCAAACAGATTTTGTTTCTCAATCGATTCAACTTTTGATTGGTGAGTTTAGGGCATTAATGTTTGAAGTTATTAATAAATGGTTCATGTTGGTTGCTATCATTTGTCTCTTTTTTTGCTGTTTGTGTGTTGTTTTCTTTGCATAGTCTCTGCGTTATGCCAATTCCTCTCCAGTCTATTTGTGTGTGTGTGTGTGTGTTTAGGTATGAGTGTTCTGTCTGCATATCAGAAGAGGGC